GGAGATTTGGTTTTTATTCGCAGGTTTGATTCCAAGACCCTGGAACCTCGTTGGAAGGGACCGGTTCCTGTTGTCCTGTCAACTCCCTTGACAGTGAAGGTGGCTGGACATTCTGCCTGGATACATCACAACCATCTGAAAGCAGGACCCCCTGTGGATGTCAAAAAGGACTAATGGAAGGTTATCAGCCAACCAGGCAACCAAAAGCTAAGATTGGAGTGGGATGGAGATGTTTCGCCTTCATGATAATATTCTCTGGGACACTGGCAGTATTGCCCCCAAAAGGACTAGATCACACAAAAAATGTATGGATTCAATTGACAAACTCACTTAATTTGTCTGAATTCTGTCTAAATGTTGATGTAAATTTCCATCATGTATTGGGGACATGCCTCATGTCATAAACCTAAGAATGCTGTCAAATTATATACACCCAGGGTAATTATGTCAAATAATACCCAATGTGCTATGTATGAAAATTGTACAACCAAATGTCTGAGGATAAAATGGTCGGAAGGGATGCCCTGCTATATAAAACAAAAAATTGTGTATAATGATTGCCATATCTCCCTACCAATAGGATGGTTTTATACCTGTAAAGGAATAACTTTCAATTATATCCCAGCCAATTTAACCAAGACCCGTTGCTGCTTGAGTCATCTAGCTGTGGTTCTACCAGATAGAACTGATTTGATTATGCCAAACAGAACTAAACGTTGGTCACCCTATCCTGCACCAGGATGTGATGATGATGTAGGTCTGTTGACAGATGCTGAAGTAATAACTATGATAGCATTTTTTGTTGCCTTTCCTTCTACAGGAGTCCATGCTGAAAAGGCAGTACGGAAATTAGCATGCAAGGTGTTCAAAGGGTTAAATGCTACCTCATCAGCCTTGGCATTAATTAACCAAGAGTCACAAGAACAGAGACAGGCAATCTTAGATAATAGGGCAGTGATAGACTATTTGTTGCTCTTCCACCACCAAGGTTGTGAGAAAATAAGAAATATGTGTTGTTTCAATCTTACTGACAATAGTCCAAAAATCAAAGAAAAGGTAAAATAATTGGAAGACCTGGCTCAAAGGGTACATAATGAAGATGGCTGGGACTTGTTCCAATGGCTAACTAAATGGTTGCCCCACCTATAATGGTTAAAACAACTTTTTCTCGTTGTTATAGTTGTGTGTATATGCTTACTATTGTCATGCTGTTGTATACAATAGATGCCTACGTTTATACGTAAGATTACTTAAATTGTAAAATCAGTGGGGAATATGGGACTGCATAACTCTGTAATCATAAAACTCCCCTAGCCTCAACTGTGATTGAATGTGAATAATTAGATAAAGATGCTTGTTAGCTCCGGGACACTAGATAAGATCTGTATCAGCCATAAGGTCCCAAAGTAAAATACTCAACTCTGTTCGAAACTGATGTTCCGGACACCGCTATCTATAGAACAATCTACAAACAGCTGCTGACCATCAGCTCATGTCAGCTGACCACTAACCTTTGTTCCTCTTCTGTAAATTTCACCTGTTAACTTCCTCTGCAACCCCCTATAAAAAGAGCCTTGGACTCTGGGCTAGTCGCCTCTCTAAGCTACTTTGCTTTGGGAGTGCCATCTGGCCAGACTAAGGTCTGTTTTACTTTCCAACTTGTCGGTGTGTTCCTTCCCGGGTGTTCTTCGCTGCAGTCAGCTCCTTGGGAGTGTTTGGTAAGGCCCTCGTTTGGTAAGGCCCTCGGTCTTACAAAAGAACATACCAGCACATCTTGTAAAAATCAAGGTGATTTGACCCAGGCATAGTATAATCCCAGCACTTGGGAGACTGTGGCAGGAGGATTGCCATGAGTTTAAGGCCAGCCCAGTCTACATAGTCCAAAGACACCCTGAACTACACAGTAAGACTGTCTCCAAAAAAAAAAAATTAATTTTAAAACTTACATGGAAAACCAAAAAACATAGATTAGTAAAAAACAAAAAATCTAGAGCTGGGCATGGTGGTGCACATCCATAATCCTAGCGCTTACAAGGCTGAGGCAGGAGGATTGCCATGAGTTTGAGGCCAGTATGGGCTATATAATGAATTCAAGAGCAGCCTGAACTAGATAGTATGACCTTGTCTCAAAAAAACAAAACAAAACAAAAACCAAAAAACTAAGAGATAAATAAAGTCACTTACTACCTCATTCCTAGACATTATTATTTTTGGTTTTTTGAGACAGGGTTTCCTTTAGTTCAGGTTGGCCTTGAACTCACTCTGTAGCCCACATTGGCCTTGAACTCATAGTGATCCTCATGCCTCTCAGCCTCTGGAATGCTGGGCTTATGAGCATGTGCCACCACGCCCAGTTTAGATTTATTTTAAAGCTATCAGTAATCATTACAGCCTGGCAATTGTTTTTTGTTTGTTCTTTAAAGGAGGAAGGTGTGATAATTATGGCTCCAAAGCACAGGGACATGGCAAAGGAGGCTTTCTTAAAGCATGGCAGTCATGAACCAGAGATCAAGGGAAAAGAGGAGATAAACCCTTCCAGGCCATGCCTCCAATGACCCACTTCTCCAACCAGGCTTCACCTCCCAACATCAAATTTAGCTATGAACTCATCTGTGGACTAATCCACTGATGAGCATCACACTCCCATCCAGTCACCTCCAGTCAAAGCTCCACCTATGAACCTTAGTGCACGAGAGGCTTTGGAGCTACATCCAGATATAAACCATAACAACAGGGCCAGGGATTTAGCTCAGTGGTTCCAGTGCCTGCCTCATAAACGCAAGGACCCGAGTTCAATCCCTGGTACCAAAAAATAAAATAAAATAAAATAAACCATAACAACATACAATCTGAGCCTAGACTTCAATTCCAGCAACATGTCTCATACATCAATGCAGGTACAAAGGAAATTTCCATATTTCAAAATCCATTTTTAAAAATCCATTTAACTGTTCATTTGAAGAGCTTATGTCTGCCTTCAATTGGAAGTGATTAAGCTGTAATATATTAACATACTGAACAACAAATATCAAGAGAACTTACCAGTATTTTTTATAAATTCCTTCCAAGTTCTACATGTGCTCTATGAAAATTATATGCTTGTGGGGCCTGGGATTTAGCTCAGTGGTTCTGCCACCTGCCTCACAAGTGCAAAGTCCTGAGTTTGATCCCCCATACCAAAAAAACCCAAAAAACAAAAAACAAACATGAATCTAGGGCCAGGGATTTAGCTCAGTGGTTCTGATGCCTACCTCATAAGTGCAAGGTCCTGAGTTCGATCCCTGGTACCAAAAAAAAAGAATCTAACTGGCTGTGTTGGCACACACCTCTATTCTCAGCCATCAGGAGACAGAGGCAGGAGAATCACCATGAGTTCGAATCCAGCCTGGAGTACATAGTAAATTCAAGGCCAGCCTGAATTACATAGCAAGACTCTATCTCTTTTTTGTTTTGGGGGTGGGGGGGGTTAGCACTGGGGATGCAGCTCGGGACCTTGCGCTTTCGAGGCAGGAGCCAGAACCACTGAGCTAAATCCCCAGCCCACCAAGACTCTATCTCAAAAAAAAAAAAGGCCAGGGATTTAGCTCAGTGGTTCCGCTGCCTGCCCCGCAACCAAAAAGGACCGGAGTTTGATCCCCGGTGCCAAAAAAAAAAAAGAATAAATAAAATAGACATACCCTTATTCAGTCTAAACAAAAAAAGGAGAGACAACTCAAATCAATGTAATTAGAAGTGAAAAAGATGCTGGGCATGGTGACACATGCCTATAATCCCAGTACTTGGGAGCCTGAGGAAGGAGGATCATGAGTTTGAGGTCAGCCTGGGCTACGTAGTGAATTCAGGGGCAGACAGAACTAAAGACCTTGTTTAAAAAAAAACCAAAAAAAGGAAAGAAAGAAAGAAAAGAAAAACTGAAATCACAATAGACAGTCAAAATTAAAAAGATTATTAATAAACACTATGTAAACCTGTTTGCCATTAAATTGGAAAATTCGGAAGAAATGGGTAGATTCCTAGATACATATGAATTACCAATTTGAAACAAGAAGATTTTAAAACTCTGAATAATCCAGTATCAGGCAATGAAATTGAATCAGTAATAAATAACCTACCAGAAAGGAAAAGCCCAGCTCTGGACAAGTTCACTGCTGAATTCTACAAAAACTTCAAGGAAGTTCTAACACAAATACTCAAGCTTTTTAATGAAATTTGACATTACTGGAAGCTACCATTACCCTGATTCCAAAACCAGACAAGGATCCAAATCAAAAAAGACAACTATATGGGCCAGGGATTTAGCTCAGTGATTCTGCCGCCTGCCTTGCAAGCGCAAGAACCCGAGTTCAATCTCCAGTACCAAAAAAAAAAAAAAAAAGACAACTATAGACCAATCTTTTAAATGAATACAGATGCAAAAATCCTCAACCTTGTGCTGGGGGATTTAGCTCAGTGGTTCTGCTGCCTGCCTCACAAGTGCAAGGACCGGGTTTAATCCCTGATACCAAAAAAAAAAAAAAAAAAAAATCCTCAACCAGATACTGGCAAACAGAATGGGACCAATCATCAAAAAGATCATATATTGGCGGGGGTTGTAGCACAGTGGTGCTGCTCCTGCCTGGCAAGTGCAAGGTCCTGAGTTCGATCCCCAGCACCAAAGGTAAAAAAAAAGATCATATATCATAACTAAGTAGGCTCCATCCCTGGGGTACGAGGATGGCTCAACATACACAAATCAATAAATGTAATACATCACATAAACGGAAGTAAGGGCAAAAATCACATGATCATTTCTACAGATGTAGAAAAAGCCTTTGACAAAATGCAACATCCTTTCATGACAAAAACCTTAAAGAAAATGGGTATAGAAGGAAATTATCTCAATCTGATAAAAGCCCTGTATGACAAACCTACTGCCAACATCACATGAAATGGCAAAAAGCTGAAGAAAACTTTTCCTCTAAAATCGGAACAAGACAAAGATGTCCACTATCACCACTTCTGTTGAAGATAATCCTTGAAATATTAGCCATGCCAATCAGGCAAGGAAAAGAAATATAAGTGGTCTGTGTAGGAAAGGATGAAGTCAAATTATCATTATTTGCAGATGACATGATCTTCTACACAGATTACCCAGAATATCCACCAAAAGACTCTTAGAATAAATAACGAAATTCAGTAATGTAGCAAGATACAAAATCAACATACACAATAAATAAATTGAATAATAGATGATGGTTGCCTTCTCAGCATTGATTTCACTTTTCTGATTTTCTAATAGAATTCTAATTCTGTGAAAATATCCACCTTTCCCCAGCACAATCCTTTGCTTTTAGAGAAAGTTGACCCTTAGTTCACATTTAACTCAAGGTATAGGGGTGGTTATCTAAGGGTAGTTAGATCTACCTTGCTAATGACAGTTTCAGGAAACTCAATTTAGCATGCAACTCAGTTGAGGTTCCTGGGGCTTCTGGAGAGTTCTTTCATCTTCTGGGAGGGCTTCAGATATCAGCTCACTCTCTCCTGAATAAAAAGCATGTGGACTCAATGCTGCCATCCTACGACCATGAAGGAGCTAGCCTTAGACTGAAGCCTACATTATAGACACAGAATAGAGATAAGAAAAAATGTAATAGG